AATAGAGCATTATTTCTTCATATCTTTAATAAATAAAAAAATGCTTTGATGAGTGGACGAGCTCACAGCCTACCTGGTTTTAAGTGGTTACTGGAGCCCATAGACATCTACAACGTAAATGCGCTACCCACCTTGAGATATTAATCACATAAGTTCTAAGGTCTCAGTATAGTTACAACGGCTGCCCCACCCTTCAAACCGAAACGCATTACTGCCTCACGGCAGAAATAGGCAGGGCGGTGGTACCTACCCGTGCGGACTCACAAGTGGTCCTACCACCAGTGCAGATTTCTAATCTTAAGTGCAAACATATAAATTCTTAATGTTTCATATTATGGCAACTCTATTTTTCTGATATCGCTGTTACACTTTTCGTATTGCGGTGTTGCCTTAATCGAAATTATGTTAATCACATAGTTATACAGATATAAATACCACTTGAACTACCACGATCATAGACACACTCGAATATCTGGGATACACTTCAAGATTTTTTCATAGTTCTTTTATTGCTTTGAATATTGACATCCCTGTATTTTCTGTCTAATTGGGTGTTGGAAGCGACAACGCGATTTTATGAAATATTGTATTAGTGAACGTATTATTGTTCAAAATGTATTGTAATTATTTTCAGATAATTAAATATAGCAGCGTTGTGTACTGCTGCTTTACAAACTGTACAAAGTTTCTAGTTAATCGGGTTTTCTGAGAAGCGGGAATAGACAAACAAATAGTTTTTTTTTCTTCTAAAATTATTAGTTAATAATATGTAATAAAATTTAATAAGATTTTCTATTTTTATCAGAGAAAAATCACTTTACAATAATGTAAACACAACCGTCGTTGTGCACGATAAGGTTGAAAATTCAAAATAAATGATCATTACCTACCGACTTTAGGGTTCTGACGAGCACCAGCTTTTTTTTTACAAAATTAAGTATGTATGCTTACCCTGCACGCCCCATTCTACCTATTTCTGATGATGAGCACCTAGAATTCTAAAGCGTAAAACAATTCACTATTAAAATAATAGCTATTATTCCAATACAATCCAAACTTCATATTTTAAATTGTGTTTTTGTGGTAGGTACTATTTGAGTGGACATGTTCAACTGACTCAGCCTCATGGACAATATAACTAATTAAAATGTAGCCACTTACACTGAGATATGATATCCAAGTTCCAATTATACTTCATAGTAGCTATGTGATAAACGACTACTTCGCGACAAAAAAATATATAAAAAGAGTTCACGATATACTATATCGCCAGTGTAGTCTAGATTTTCTTTCTACTTTTATCAAAAGCTTTTACTCCAATATTCTCAAGGCACTTTTTGTTTGACGAATAATTCTTTGAGACCTTATAAAATTTGTACATAGGCAGATTTTTTGTGAAACAGTACTGAGTTTTATTGGCGTCTATAATAAATCTCAGTAATAAAAGTATATACAAATTAAGGAGTCGTATGACTGAAGCCTAGATCCATTCTAATTTATTATCCGGTTGAATGCTGCAAATCGCTTCCAAGATAAAGTACGTATTAGCTAATGTTACATAATTTCGATTTTGTTGTTTCATTGTAGCTTTATTTTCGGGAGTTGAGCGTAGTTAATACTACTAGAGGTCTTGCAGTAGTCGAAATTCGACTATAATTAATTGGAATTGTAAATTTGTACACTATTATGATTGTATTTTATACTTCTATAATCACAAATTTTGCCAAGACTACACTATAAAAAATATTATCAAAACAAACAATATGTAATCTATTCTCAATTTGACAACAGACGTCAAGAACAAAAGATTGACAATAAATAGTATACATACGTGTGTGCGTCAAATATATGGTATGTAGTGTGTGTAATGTTTTCTTTATTGATTTAATGTATCTTTTATGCATTATTTTAAAAACATATTAGCATTGTGCACTTCTTCTCTACATTCTCTATAGTGTGGAAAATTTCATACTCCTCCGTCCGCGCAATTTTCGTAAAAAGGGATACAAAGTTTTTGCTTCACGTATTAATATATAGAGATGACAGTGAAAACGTTTACTAATACAATAAGCTTATCAACGCGTCTGTATCCTGTAACAACGGTGTGATTGAGATTTAAACGCATTCCATCTAATAATTGCGCATTTATGATGCGAATATCACTAATCTCCGAAATGCGAAAGTTGCAACGATTTAGATGATAAATGCCCCGTTCTAGTGAAATATGCCCGATACGCAAATTTTGAAACTATAAATCAGAAATTTAATAATTGAAAGGAATTCCTCAGACCCCTTCCCATGAAATATATACTGCACACAAGACAATGCCCGCATAGTTTATCCTTAGAGATGCGTAGACTTATAAATAACCACTACATTATAATGGAATAGACAAAAGGGTGCGTAACTCTTTTTTTATTGGACTCACCCAATACCAATTCCCGAGTGACTTCCTCGGCGAAGCACAAGCAAATCGGATAAGGTATTTACGTAAACTATGATACACATACACACATGCACACGTCTAAGCGACAATTTCCCTACATAGAAAATTTTATAACTAATCTAATCCGAAAGTTTAACTCGAATAAAATGTATTTTATTAAAACTTGTTCGACAACTATTTTTATGTTACAAAAATTCTCACTTAACATAATAAAATAAAATTATATCGTTGTTTTCACAAAATTAAGCGCGTTTACGCTTGAAAAGTTTGCGAGCTGATAATAATTGTTTCAATAGTTTTAATTCGATTTGGTATTTTGTGGAAAAACAACGTTTGAAAATTATGGAAAAAACTGCTATTTTTTTAAGTAAGTAAACACAGATTAGTTTTATTTTAATTAGCTTAGATGGACTAACGAGCACACGGCCCATTTGATTTTAAGCGGTTAGGGAATGCCTCTTTGAGAGTAAACGTCAAAGGGAAAATATTTTACGATACGGATGAAATTGCTCGGTAGACTGAAGACGCGAATGTTATTGTCTGGAACTTTTATGTATTTACATATGTATGCAACCTAATCTTGAAAATGTCGTTAGTGCAATTCAGGCTCGATTTTAAACGATAAGACGTCCGGTGCATTCCTATTTAGCGATGCAACGGTGTTCGAATCCCGCAGGCGGGTACCAATTTTTCTGATGAAATACGTACTTAACAAATGTTCAAGATTGACTTCCACGATGAAGGAATAACATCTCTTAATAAAAATCAAAACTCGCGAAATTATAATTTGGGTAATTACTGGTGGTAGGACCTCTTGTGAGTCCACACGGGTAGGTACCACCGCCCTGCCTATTTCTGCCGTGAAGCAGTAATGCGTTTCGGATTGAGGGGTGGGGCAGCCGTTGAATCCATACTGAGACCATAGAACTTATATCTCAAGGTAGATGGCGTATTAACATTGTAGATGTCTATGGCCTCCAGTAACCACTTAACACCAGGTGGGCTGTGAGCTCGTCCCCCCATATAAGCAATAAAAAAAGGCATTTGTGGAATATCTTTTCTTCTATGACAGCTGTTTTATGTAGCTACCGGCTATACCTTTGGTCACTTTGAACCGTAAGGTTGAAGAATCCGAAGAACCGTAAGGCACAACCGATATACGATACTGGTTGTGCCTTACTCCAAATCAAAATGCATTACTACTTCACGGCATGTGTGGATCTAAAAAATGGTGGACCAACCAAGACCAAATCCATTATTGCTATTTATTCCCTATCCCAAAATATATTCTTAGCTTAATCGAATTCGCGATTCCCATTTCAAATTACTTGTGATGGATAGACTCGCTCATGGAGCCTCATTGAAGTGGTTGATGAAATCAATAAAGACCACGTCCTTAATGACGTCACTCACCTTGAATAAGTCTGTATCCGTGGAAGCGTGCCGTAATTCGCTCGATTTCACAGCGTCAGCTTAGTCTGCGAACTAGATCTCCGCGTTCAATTGATCCGGATCCGGGAATGTATCAAGATAATTTGAATTTAAAATACGTATTCTTAATCCGGTCATTTTCGGCTGTGAATCCGTTTGCCTGATTTGAATCGATTGAGTTTTATTATTTGCTTAGCTAATTTAGGCAGGACGTATTGTAAATAGCATATCACTACATAGTATGAAACAAAGTCGCTTTCTTTGTCCCTATATCTGTCTGTCCCTATATATGCTTAAATCTTTAAAACTACGCAACGGATTTTGATGCAGCTTTTTTTAATAGATAGAGTGATTGAAGAGGAAGGTTTACATGTATAATAACATCCATTAAATAGTGGAGAAGTCAATAATAAATTATAGTTTCTGAAGCGGAGCGAGGGCGGGTCGCTAGTAATAGTAAAAAGCACAAGGTAGCCCCGTCTGGCCTATTTCTGCCGTGCTTACGTTATGCGAACTACTATGTTACTTGCTAATTTTGGTCTTGAATTAATTGCGGAAGTCCAGAGAAGGTTTAAAAGGTAGAAATTAAATAAAAATTACAATTTTGTTTTTCCTTTGATGTGTCCCCCGTCAGACGCATTCCTTTTGTTTGTTTTAAGTTTACTTTATACAAAAGTTTAGGTCTTTTATTTATCAATTGAGGCACTGCGAAGTCTGCCAGGTCAGCTAGTTAGTGAATAAAAATATGTAATTTTAGTAAAGTAACTTTCATATATGAATATGCATTACATATGTTAATCAGAAATTCAATTCAGAACTACATCTCTATAAACAAAAATAATTAAAAACCGTGAAAGAATATTAAAACAAATTGAAAAAAAAAGCTGACAGTCTATCTTGAGGATCTTTAAAAAAAAAACAGATAACAAACCGAGTTCTTAGAGAGCCGCTCGTCCATACTAGAAACCGTACGTCTGTCGCTCTTCAGAACACAAAAATACACTTAAAACAAGGAACACCCTAAAAATCTAAAATTAACATCCCCTTAATGAGTCCACTCGACTTATTTGCTACGTGAAAATGGATCTTATCAACGAACACTAAAGAGGATTTTCGTTTGCAGTTCCGCGTACAGTTCTCAAAGAGAGGTACGAAAGTGCCCCTGAAGAGGACGAGGCTGCTCACGATGTTTCCGATCCCGAGCACGAAGATGTCGGTAAGTGCTTTTTTCGTTAAAAAAATAGAGCTAGTTGCGAAATCTTAAGTTTTTTTTATGTCTTTGGTAAAATTCGAACGTACGCGGACTCATAAGAACCGACAAATACAAAACTGTGTTATTGAAAGACATTGTTGAGTCTTTATATCGGGCAATGATCATCTGACTCCAGATCAGAAGCTTGCGTGCTCAAATCACGTCGAGGTCACCAGTGCTGAGTCTCTATATCGGGCAAGGCTTAATAAGACACGTGTTCAGTTAAGTTACTAACGTATATTGGGATTATAACCTCATGAGCTATCGACAGCCCGACAATCCAGAGACTGACGTAGCATCACTGCAATATAAATATCGCTAGCACATACATATTTTGTGGAAATTTGTGGTCCCTACAACATTACACAATTCTTATAGGTTTTTGGAACGAAGTTCCTTATCGCGCGTTGTGAAAGGGGGCTAGACGGAAAAAATTCTTACGAAAAGTTGTCACGACACTTTTTAGATCCGTCATTCTGACCAATCAACGTGTAGGCGCTTATCGCGTGACATTGCTCGTATCCGATTGGTCCGCGTAATGAGTACAGTTTCTCGAGATAGCGTTTCAACAATAGTAATTTAGTTCATAGTATTGTTTTTTTCTTCTTCATAATGCCGTAATTTATTATTATAACTTTAAAAAAAAATTACAATTCCTTCACTAATTAATCGAAAGGAACTTCGTTCCATCCGGGTGTACCTTGACACCTCTGAAGTTTTTTGTTTTTATCTAAGACACTTCTTCATATAAACTAAAATATGTTTGCGTTGTTAGTTTGTGAATCAGCTTCAAAGAAAGTGCGTGTTACAGATTAAATTACATTCGAATAATTTAAAAAAAGTAAAAAATATAATACAAGACGTTTACAAAGAATCTTAAATGACACTCGACTTCCCTCGTGTTAGTGCTTCCACAAACATTATAACATCGTCTCGAACGATCGTAAGCAATGTAGGAGAGATAAAAGTATTTCCTCGAAACCATTTAACCACGATTGAACTTAATCTAAACACCTCCCTCGAAACAGTAAGGATACTTGTGGCTACTCAGAAAAGAGTTCAAAAAGCATTTCAAAAGAAACGGTTAAGTTCCAAAATGGGGCGATTAAAAGAAATGCAATTTGTTAGCTGTTTCCCTGTATCGTAAATATATCGCACGAGGATCGTGTCCTTATTGTGACATTGGCAAATTCATTTCAATTCATTGAACTAATGGTAATCTTTATAGGCATCTAATAGGCATACTTTAAGCCAGATGGATTGGTTTGTTGAAAACTTACAAGGTATGCGTACATACGGGCTCTTACTGTCTTACTTCTAAATCTGTAACCATTTCCAAAATTATCTCTTCATCTTTTTAACTAATAAGCTCCTTTTTTATCCCGAGGTTTTGTGTTGAAACCACATTAGCAAAAGATATACATGAATCCCTAACCAATCAGTGTGCTTAGTGCGAGTTTTTTAACGTTCTCGATAGCGTAAAAGTTAACTCAATTTTGTATGCAGTTGGAACAGCGACCCTAGCCGCAAACGTAGGCAAACGCATACAAATTTAAGTTAACTTTTTCGATATCGCGAACGTTAAAATAACTCGCACTAAGCAAACTGAATTCGTTAATACATTGGTAATCATGTTATTATATTTTAAAGTTATGTACTCCAATGTTAAAGATCACATACATTGAGTACATGGAATTTAAAGACAGCTATCTCGAAGGGACTAGAATACCGGACCTAAGGATATCAAAGCTTAGAGCATCACGCTTAAGATATCTCAGTGAATAGCGTATCTAGGCTCAAACAGCTCGAGAGATACACGAACTAAGCTGGGCTTTTCTTAGATAATTTTTTTCTCAATCGGATCTAAGCAATTTTTCGTTCGTAAACCCCTTTATAGTGGATTTGGCTCATCACAGCTTACTCTAAAATGATTGAATTCTATTTTTTGTGTCGTACCTATTTTTTTGAGTCATTATATTGTTGATCAATACGAAGAAAATAAACGATGATTGACTAATTTATGCATTAAACAAAAAAAATATTACTATCTAGTAAGTAAACTGGTGGTAGGACCTCTTGTGAGTCCGCACGGGTAGGCACCACCACCCTGCCTATTTCTACCGTGAAGCAATAATGCGTTTCGGTTTGAAGGATTGCCGTTGTAACTATACTGATACCTTAGATCTTATATCTCAAGGTGGGTGGCGCATTTACGTTGTAGATGTCTATGGGCTCCAGTTACCACTTAACTAGAGGTGGACTGTGAGCTCGTCGACCCATCTAAGCAATAAAAAAAATGAAAAACAATAATCGGGAAGGACCTAACAGCGCACTTAATATTAAATGTTTACCAGATCCGATTGATATATCACGAATGTCGCCATCCTCCTTAAGACATTAGGTCGAAGCTAGCTATATTGTATTATAGTGGTAGCTGTGTATAGAAGAAAAGCAGTAAAAATCTGATTTACAAGATAACCTACCAGAGACGTACATATTAATAATTCCCGACAACAATATCTATATATTAATACGTGAAGCAAAAACTTTGTATCCCTTTTTACGAAAATTGCGCGGACGGAGGAGTATGAAATTTTCCACACTTATAGAGAATATAGAAAAGAAGTGCACAATGCTAATATTTTTTTAAAATTATGCATAAAAGATACATTAAATCAATAAAGAAAGCATTACACACACTACATACCATGTATTTGACGCACACACGCATGCATACCATTTATTGTCAAACTTTTGTTCTTGACGTCTGTTGTCAAATTGAGAATAGATTACATATTGTTTGTCTTTGTTAATATTTTTTATAGTATAGTCTTGGCGAAATTTGTGATTATAGAAGTATAAAATACAATCATAATAGTGTACAAACTTACAATTCCAATTAATTATAGTCGAATTTCGACTACTGCGGGACCACTAGTTCGAATAATTTTATATCGTCGGTTTATCAAGCAATGACAGTCGCTTTGCATAAAACCTTCACTTTGTCATTACCTACATTATCTTCACACGAATAGGTAAATCTATTATTACAATATCTACTTCTGTTATGATTATGAATAGTACTTTAAATTCAGTACACTCTTAGCGTTCTCAACATTTTTTACCAGTTTCAAAATGGAACAAAAATAGGTATAGACTACCTAATAAGGGAATAATAATTTCGTTTTTTTTTTCTACCTAAGCTGATAGCCTTTAGAAGCTAATCTAGGGTAGCCTTAACTAGCAGGTGAGCTCACGGGGCTCAAACTGACGGTGTTGCTAACAAATCAAATCAAATCAAATCAAATCAAATCGAAAACACGAAGCTTCATTTATTCTCCAAAGAGTTAAAATTTATGTCGCATTCCCGCCCTCAAACGCGAACTCACTAATTTGAATTTCTATTTCACATGAAAACGCTCTGAATATTGTTGACATAAAATGCAGTGGATGATACATACAGTCCCCTAGTGCTTATCCACTCGGACAATTACAACGTTGCTTAAGTTTGTAGCGTTAGCCTCGCTCGGTCTACTTTACTGGCGGGATGATGCTGTGTGAACGATTGCTGTAAACAACTCTAAAATAACATTTCAGAGAGGAACTATATCTTCATGAACTAATATAGTATAGCCCATTAACAAATGAAAATCTGGTGGAGACTTTAAGAAGTAATGATGATATGGTTGAAAGAGAAGAATTTCTTGACAGTGAAAATACTGAGGGAATTAATGAATAAATTTTAGAAAATACAAGAACTGGAAGACCGCAGCGGAACAGAAGACCACCAGAGAGATACAAAGATTTCATAATGGAAGATGGAGAGTTCTCTTTACTATATAATATACGGACAAGCGTTCTTAGTTATCGCTTCTGTAAATGTAAGAGCTAATCAGGCTCTTGGATTTAGTTATACGAAATCTTAAAACGTAACGACGTAAATATTGCCTAACTTCATACAGAATGCGAAGTTACATCTTCTTCGGGTACTATAGCTTGACCAGCATAAATAAACAATATGGTAATCTTATGTATAATAAAAATAAATAAATTATCTATATTCGATTGAGAAGAGTATACGCTTTCAATTGGTTAAAGTATTTATAGACATTCAATTTATAAGAGATTGTTTATAAATTGAATGTCTATAAAGAATTATAAAGATTACACTTGTCACGACAAGAAAAAATCAAATCACTTTTTATTTATATATATTATAATGGTGGTTCAACAAAGCCGCTAGGTGCCAAGTGGTTACTGGAGCCTATAGAAATCTCAATGACAATACCACCACCGACCTTGAAACATGAGGTCTTGGTCTAAATGAAATAGTGCAATGACGTCCCACCCTTCAAACCGGAAAGCATGACTGATTGGCTACAGAAATAAGCAGGGTGACGGTACCTATAGAATTAGGGTAATGTGCCAATCCAAGCTCTAATTCGACAATCCTTAATAAAGTTTAACAAATCTAAGCACAAAATTATGGTCAATACACTAACGAAGCGATAGAGATTAAACATTAGTTTATATAGTTTCATGCGTTATAGTTAAACACAAAGATTTAAATTTGTTTTATCTGTTGAAAATACTAACTTAAATTTCTGTCGCAAAACACATTTTGCCTAACAATTTCGAAATTCATATTCCTTTTTACTTTATCAAACCGACGCATAATTGAGGCAATAGTCCAAAAGGTCGTGTTCTCCTTAATATTGTCCCATTTTAAGTGTCGCATGTTCGGGACATGACAAATTGTGCGCTACAACAACGGGGCTCTCGTAGGAACCGGGAGCCGAGCCAAGTCTTGCTGTGAAAGCATAAAATGAATTTGAATTTTTTTAAAGAACGCCTCGTGTTTTACGCCGTGTAATATTGCAGGCGTTATTCTTAATTACAAAATCATTAACTTTAGCCAGTCTGCTTTAGTAAATGAAGAACAAAATAGCAGTTTATTGCCAATACCTAAACATATGTAATTGATTATAAATACAATGAGAAGATAAACATACAATAGTCTATCTTTCTAATACTATACAGATGATCGTTCAGCATTAGAAGAAACACAGATAGTTCCATATCTGTTGTGCTAAATATTATTTAATGATTAATAGACGGTGTAGTAGTAATATCACTACGAGTTACCTTTGTGAAGGGCATGAAAGGAAAGACGACAGAAAAAATAAATGGAGATATATTAGGGAAATAGTCGAACGACTATGGAGAATAGTCTTGAATTGAAAAGTAAGCTTATCCAATCCAATTTTGGTGGTCTTTATTAATTAAGTCAGTCTTCTAAATTTTATTAAAGAATCTCGCGTTGTCAATATCACTACCCACCCACAGAGACATGAGCTATGAGAGATGTAAGTCTCAATAGTATTGCATAGCAGCCTAAAAAATAAAAAAAACAGTCACAATTGATTCCACAAATTAATTTATTTTTAACCAAGGACTGTACTAATAAAGAATAATACAATCTAAAGATGCACAAGCAATCCAACAACTCACATTCATATAATCTACAATTGATACGCGGTAATCCAATATTAAAATTATCTCCACGGAGTGTAATACCAGATCCCTTGAATGGAACAAGCGAAGAAATTTGCTTAATCCCCTCTTAATTTGGACGCGTGCAATCTACCAGGATTTGTTTTGCTCCGTGTCAGGGTGGTTCTTTGCTTTGTCAGTCTAAAAACGGATTACCGGATAAAAAGCTTCCTTTAGAGACAGCGTCCGCCCGTGATGCTTCATATTCAGAACCTATTAGTAATGAAGTATTTTTGTTAAACATTTCATTTCTGTTCCAAGCTTGAAAGTTTCTACTTTCCATTGAAATGCTACTTTGATAAAGTACTTCATTCGAACTAATGATGTTTACTGAATTTTATGTATTTTTTTATTCATTAATAAAATATTTTGACATTTCATCATTCACGATTGTTCGAGGAAAACTCTTTGAAATCTTCTCTGAGTACTTTATTTTTAACAGGATAAAGGTTCGCTCATTTCGGTAAATTGCCCGATCCAATAATATCTTGACTCCATCAAAGGAAGTTCGTATTAAATCAGCCTTCAACTAAAACATTAGGCTGAAAAATTTNGTAAAAAAAAAAAAAAAAAAAAATAAAAAAAAAATAAAAAAAAATTCAGTCATAATGAAAGTTAATTATTCTAAGCTGAAATAATAAGGGGTAGTAGGCTTAACAAACTGACTATTCCCCGTCTATTAAGTAGCCGAATCAAGAAATTTATTCGTGTTATAATAATAGGCATTTGTCTAATGAAGTTACCGTTTTACAATATTCGCCATTTGAAACATATTTTTTTATGGCTGGCAATAAAATTTTAATACAAGCGAACAAATTTAAAAAAATTGGAATTCTATTCTCAATTGAATAAATTCATTTTTATATATTTATTAGTGTTGTGTTTTCACTACATTTGATATCGACACGATAAAATTACTTGTAATTATGGATTACGAGTTCGGTCGCGTTAAGAATGCCGCACAAATGGCTCACGACATTAATAACTTCTACAGAGTGAACACTATAAACGAACGCAGAACTCGTTTTATTAGTTTGAATGTTCCGAAATATGTAGGAATTTGGATTTAAATAACGAACACCGTGGTTGCTCGTAAACTAAAGTCAAAAACAACAAATTAAGGGTGAGAGTGGAAACTAACGCTACTCAATCAACCATTGACCTACCGGTAGCAGCTTTTAGCGTTAGCATCAAAACAATGCAAAAAAACTTGTAAGTGGGCACCGCACCGACTGAACGATCGTCAGCATCGGAGATCGCATTGTCACTTGCGATCAAAAATGGATTATTTTTGAAAATCTTTCATACTTCTACCGAATATAAATATTATATGTAACTTGAATTTTATAAAGACATTACAGAGAGGACCGTTTGCATAATTGTACGCAAATATGCTTTAATATGCTTTGTATTTTTTTAGTTGACGCTGCCTGTAATGATCTTTTTCTTTATTACGTCCTTTGTAGAGGAGCAAATGGCCTACCTGATGGTACATGGTCATCGTCGTTCGCGGACGGCTACTTTGAAAACTCTTTCCAAGCCTCGCTGGAAGACAGACATGTACTTAGGATATAACTTGGAGGGAAGCTCACTCCAAAGCCGGATAATACGTGCCAAAATATCTCTGGAAACGGGCTGTGGAGGGATACATTGATTCTAGGTAGAAAGGAATCTTCCTCATCCTCCCACCTGACAGCTGTAATGTGCTTATTCCAGTTTATATTTTTTTTTATTCAATTGATGGATTCTTTTTATTGGGTCTTTAGCCCCGAAGTCTTCAGAGATCACAATGTAAACAAATAAAAATCTGCTATAGTAAATGTTTTTTTTTTCACGTAGCTCGATTGTTCATGTCTAGATAATGCGTGGAACGTTCTAGTACACTATTCAGAACCCGTTTGATTCGCCCCCACTATTTTCCAATATCGCAGACTCCTTCTACGCAATTCAGAAGGATTCAATGTTATAATAAAAGCTTCTCTGAAGTAATTCTTCTTTTATACTTTCGAATTTACTGCTCTTACAAGGGATTTATACAAGAAAAGTATAGCGAGAAAACAAAAAAATTATATTTAAGCGTTGCCAGAAAAAACAAAATGGGATTTATTTTCGTGAGCTTGTGATACCTACCTTGGTTTTTTTAATGAAACGGTTAAGGGATTGGGATTAAGTTCCTATTTAGATGACGATCTAAATCTATTTAACGCCGCAAAATTTGTATTATAAAAACAAACAAAAAACCATAAAATTCGTGCTGATTTTAATGATTCGCTTCAGCAGACTATTGTTTTCTTCAATCCCCGGGTCTTATAGGAGTAATGTTCCACATAACTTTCAATTTGTAAAATCCACCTTGAAACCGTCCCTAGGGTAAGCCCTCTGAGGCCTTTAGAACGTTTCCAATGTGTGGCTTCATTGCGCACACATTCCTACTTGTAATGTTTATGTCGAAATACCGTAAGTAAATAAGCAAACTATTTACTTATGATATATAGTTTCTACATAAAGAAATTAACACGATTTTTATAAATTGAATTTACACGTACATACTATGTTTTATATTTTTTTACAAATGTAACTGAGACTTGGAACTTTTTTATTTATTGTTTAGATGGATGGACGAGCCCACAGCCCACCTGGTGTTAAGTGGTTACTGGAGCCCATCGACATCCACAATGTAAATGCACCACCCACCTTAAGATATAAGTTCTAAAGTCTCAAGTATAGTTACAAGGGCTGCCCCACCCTTCAAACCGAAACGCATTACTGCTTCACGGCAAAAATAGGCAGGGTGGTGGTACTTACCCTCGCGGACTCACAAGAGGTCCTACCACTAGTAAAAAAATCTTGGGTGGGTAATCATGTCATAGTGTACATGCACTGCAACAACCGCTTCGTATGAATTGGTTAAGAGTTACCTGTGCATTAAACAAATAAAACAAAATAAAATAGCTTCTTTTACCAATAATTTCATAAACGCAAAAAAATACAAATAAAAAACTTGGTGCACGTGAAAGAAGTTAAGCTTCTTTTCGCTGTTTATTATTGTGGTTTTCTTCATTTTTCATTCTTAAACCAATTTTCTCTTGTAATAGGGAAGGGAAGGCTGTGTATAAGAGAAATTACCTCTTTACTATGTACATATATGACAATATATTTTAAATTATAAATAGAAAAACAAATATATTTTTTTAATCCTTCATTAAAAATAAAATATTAGATACTTATTATGTTACTGCCATCTACAGGAGCAATAAGAAACAAATAACAAGTCATCTAGTGGCTGACGCCCGTAAACAGAATGTGTATAAGAGAAACGACCTAGCTCGCTTTCTCGCTCTCTCCAAGGTCGAGTGGTTCGTGAGACGCTCTGTTTCTCGCTCTTATCGAATCTGTCACGAGTTAAGTTTTACGCTCAACGCGCTTAAAGAAGCTTCACTTCAATCACAGAATCTGGGACTTGTATTTTTACCAGAAACGTTAATTCTCATATCTATGTGTATATAATCGTGGTGGTCGCTAGCCCATATTGGTACATAGTTTGAATTTTTTTTTTTTGTTTTGTTTTGAATGAATAAAACATTAATCACAATGCATGTGGGTCTTGAATGTCGTCCAAATTCTCAGAATTGTTTTGAAAATTTCACTGCAGACTTGCCTGTTTTAGTTGCTTTAATGTGTGAACGGGACATCAAAGAAGAAATTTTACTTAAGACTTGACAAGGCACGCATACTTTGGATAGAGGCCGCTGTCACTACGTAAATTCTCGGGAATGCCTTACCGCTGTGTAGTGATAATGATGATCCATTACTTCATCTTACTTTCAATATTAGTTAAGACTCAGCAATTCAGCATATTGTGCCTTCAATCAATGTGAACAGCATTTTTAAAGTAGTGTTTATTTCAGACGAATCAAACGACCGATGGTGGGGCGAATCAGCAGTTCCTCCGGCTCCAGCAGTAGCAGCTGTACCCCCTCAACGCCCTTCTACGACGACCGTCTTAAACGCAACCAGCATAAATAGGATCGAACCTCCAGCCGTACCAACGAATCATCACTTATCTAAAGATGGTAAAACTTTGATATAAGATACTAACTAGCCGTACTCGCCCGCTTCGCTGGGCGTTTAAAATTAACATTATTATTTATTGTCATTATTATTAGGGAATCCAACACTCATATAAATATTAGCATATCCATTAAGTACATGTATTTTTTACATGGATACCAAGTTTCAAGTCAATCGGATGCATGGTTCAGTGGTTATAACGGAACATCCGTAAAAACCACTGTAGATTTATATATTGGTATAGATTGTGTGTACACTGCTTAACAAGAAAGTCCCAAACTGCACTGCCCCTCTCCTTTTCTCTCTTTTGAAAGATATAGTTAAAGGCGCCTGAGAGATGTCGTCGTGGCATAAAGGATTAGCAATCCAGAGCACTCGTGTTGAACGATGCACCAGTGTTCGAATCCCGCAGACGGGTATAATTTTTCTAATAAAATACGTGATTGACAATTGTTCACGATTGACTTCCACGATGAAGGAATAACATCATGTAAAAATCAAACCCGCACAATTATAATTTGCGTAATTACGGGTGGTAATAACTCTGGTGAGTTCGCACGGGCAGGTACTGCCTATTTCTGCCGTGAAGTAGCAGCATTTCGTCTCATTCTATATCAGCATACTATGATCGCTAATTTATTTTTATTGGTATTTTCTTGCCTACTTATGCCGCAAAGCAATCATACGCGAAACCTTAAATCATTGGATAGCCGTTTCATGCTATCCTAGGTATATTAGGCAGTGAGCAACGGTAGCCACTTACAATCAGGCTAACCGTACACTCGCCTGCCTACAAAGGCAGTAAAAAAGGATCTAAAAATATAAAATATCAGTAGCAAAATATCACCATGTTTATAATGAACTGTCGTTTTTGAGAACTCGGAAACCTCTACAAAAAAAAGTACATAATATCAGTTTTAAGAATATTTTTCCATCATAGTATGAATCCAGTCTATAGTTCGTTTAATTGAAGTAGACAAGGGGTTGATTTTTGATCAACCAAAAAAATTGAACCAAATTCGGAAAACAGATGCCACAAATCACATTGATCTAAGAAAAAGAAAAAAAATTATCGATCTTCAAACTAAGCCACGAGCATCCCCACATATTGTATGTACCAACCAGTATTAGTCTAATTTATAGCAGTTGTGGTTACAATAAGTTATAACAAGGACCTTTATTTAGGTCGAAGGTAATATACCTTAGTTTGGGAAACTTTGGATAGGTAGGTAAATATAATTAGTGGAAGCTAGACTTTACACGAATTGTTTGTGTAAGCCCAAGCGTGAAATTGTTTGATGAATAATAACTTGTAATACAGTTTTGATTAAAATAATAATTGTAATTAGGTTCTAAAACAGTTCATTCATATACCTATTTGTGTTTGGTAATTATGATGTCTCTTTATTCTACATCAAAAGACCTATTTAGTTTCTCTGAAATCTTATTTTGTCATGATTTTTCCCCCAAAGGATTTGACTCATTTCTTTTAAGCTATTTCATTTTGGTTACACAAATATTTATATAAACAATGTTTAATAATTTATGTTTCATTACAGTTACTAACTAATTGAAAGTAAATTAAATATTCATTTATATGTATTATGGAATTTTACAGATAGCTTCGACGTAATATACGTCTATATAATAGCGGCTGTGGCTGTGGCATTGTTACTTTGCATCATCGTTGGGATCATCCGCTGCGTTATGCATAAACAAAGCACTGACCAACCCAAAGGGCCCGACGTGTCTGCCACAACTGAAATCCCCAACGGATTCAACGACAGCATCTCCGAGGTAGACAACGACATCAACATAACAAGTCTTTCCGGTCCGGTCGATTCCGCTGATTCCGGAATGAAACAAGATATGCAATTTGGGAATGTGGCTGTCAGTCCCAAAATCAATAGGTACGTCGGTAGGCCAGTTCCTAACACATATCCTCACGTCAGTACTAATATGTATGGGCAGGTTGCAGAATTCCCAATAGAAATGCCACTGCGGACTATACCGATGCACGGTACTTTAGGCCGAGGAGTTGCGGTCAAAACACTACCGAGAGTCCAAGTGCAATCAGAAATAGACCCTAACACGAGAAGTTTATATCGATATTCGAACGCACAATACTATTTCGGGTGACAACAAGAGAAAGGGCAGTGTTCGGACGTATCTAGGACTTACTGTTTCTAGTTAAAGTGTAGTGAAGTGTAAATAGATCAGTGAACTAGTTAGAAGTTTGTAATGTCCTACTTTAAAAATACGGAAACTGTGATATTAATTGAAAACTTTCCTATTGTATTACCTAAGGTTTAGCGAGTTGTAGACACGGTGTATTCAGACGTGGAGTTTGAGTTGAATTAACAATGAAACAAGTTTGTTGCCCTGTGAGAACTTCACGCAAAGCTACTTTCAAAAACGTTGCTTTTAGACCTCGATTGTTCATTATTACAGTTGTGTTAAATGTTTTATTACGTAACGTATTTTCTTAGTCAACTGGGTTAATCTCTGCTTGTCCTTGTAATTTGACTACCCAATTGACTACTATTATATATTTTTATTGAAGGCATGTTTTAAAAAACTATCTTTCACGTCCATCATAATAATTTTGTCTATAACACTTTGTGTCTACAATTCGCTTGAAAGTTTATTGGTAAATGTTCTGAATTTTATATAGTTGGTTATCAATTTGTGCTGTAATAATTAACCTTAGTTTAATCAAAATTTTATTTGACACTTTTGATGCGAGTATCTCTTTGTTTTTACTAATTTAACTTCACCTTTCGTTTGAAATGTTAATTTTGAAAATGAATTTTCAGAATAGTCAATCTTTACTCAAAGAGTTTTAACACTAGTCTGGGAATTCGCATTATTCGAATATAAATTAATTTGATGCGTATTCTAGTTTAATTTTGTTACATTATATAAGTTTATAAGAACGTTAATGTTGTAAGGTATTTAGGGCGGACCGTAGTCTATCGAAGGTCGTGTAAAAATAATTTAATTAAATGTAATGACTTGCAAGTGTACAGAAAACTTTTTATGTCGTACATCGATTTATTAATAAAGTACTTACATGCACATATTTTTTGTTTCGTATTCATAGTATATACTTCCCTATCTCTTTAATATTGTTTATACTATGCACTTCGTTGGTGCGATTGATTAGATATTGAACTGACTTTTATAGGAAATCGTAATTACATTGCAAAAAAACAGTCACCTTATTGTAACTATTATTGGTCAGTGTTTTGATTATTTTTTTCTTGTCCGAATAGGGCAGATGAGCTCGCACTGTACCTTCTTTTTTTTATTGCTTAGATATGTGGATGACCTCACGGAGCACCTGGTGTTAAGTGGTTACCGAAGCCCATAGACCTCTACAACGGCTGCCCCGCCCTTCAAACCGAAACGCATTACTGCTTCACGACAGAAATAAGCAGGGCGGTGATACCTACCCGTGCGGACTCACAATACGTCCTACCACCAGTAATTACGCAAATTATAATCTGGTTACTTTTACTATTCAAATTCTTTAAACGAGGTTTGAAAATGGTCCTTATCGGAACGTAGCAGATTAGCTGTTTCCTTGGATCAGTTTGTATGTCGTATTAATAATAAAAAAGCCTCCTATATTCAAATTTGAAATCGCTTTCAAGAGCTAGTACCATTTTTAGTAAACAAATTCACATCGCTGGTTATTTTAGAAATGAAGTCCCATAATAAATTTACTACATTTAATATACTGGTGTGTAAATAACAGCTGAAAGGGATACCATTAAAAAGCCAGCCGAGAGAAACGAAAAACTGAAACGCTACAAACGTAAAACAATTAAAAGGAACTACAAAGAAAGATGAAAAGTAAAAAAAAAAAACTAGACGGTTCGTTGCGAAAGTAATAGAATAAAAACCTTTTAAAAAACAAAAAAAGACTTAAAGCATACAAGCCAATGGAATTCAGTGTTAGCCTACAAATTTATGCGGTTGAGATTTTTTTTCATATCTGCGTGAACTGGCATTTTTTTTGTTGAAGCAAGATACTTTCTTTAATGCGTACCGTGGTGATCGACGTCGTTGGTCGTCGACTATCGCCTCGACAACCCGTCGGTCGGGCGTCCTCGGGGTGGCGCCGCGTGTCTGGTTGTAGTGTTGACCGCGGGAACCCCCCTACTCTGACCGGGTTCTGACCCCGGACGGAGATCGGGCCCTGCGATCTGCTCTCAACACCTGCAGATCGTTGAGTCTCACATACCCCGCACGCCCATTTGGCGCAGGGACCTCGTAGGAGGTTCGGCCCCCGGCCCAAAAAAAAAAACTTTCTTTAATGCAGATTGTCTATTCTGGGCTTTAATTTTGTTTTTCTATAACCTATACTAAATCAGTTTAAGACTTAAATGTAAAGTAAACCCCATTACGGCGTAGTCTCTAAACACAATTGAAAATTAGTTGAGAAAAATTGGCGTAAGAACAACATAGAAACCAACCACAGATAATATACATAAATTAGTTATAGATAAGCAGCTCAAGCACTCCACAAAAATGTTTACGGGCGTCGGCCACTAGATGGCCTCGCTTCGATTAGTTTCTCATTGCTCCTGTAAATGGCAGTAACAAATTACCTATCCTATATTTTATTATTAATGAAGGATTTTGCAATTTTTCAGAAACCACTAATTGATAAAATTTAATCAATTTGTCTCTAACAAATAAAGTATGTTTGATTTATTACTTTTTTTTTTATTTTCGTCGTTTAGTTATACAATAATTAAATGCCTTAACATTAATAACATATAAATTTATGGGCATTCGCTACGAGATGTCGATAGTTTCCATACAAAAAAATTATGTCTTAAAGTATCGCAGTTTCAGGGCCCTGGTACCAACAACGCTTTTGAGACGATATTTATTCTTTTATAATTCTTTTATTACGAGATTTTAAAGTATATTTAGTGTCAAGCGGTTGTGTGTAATTCATGGACGACATAAAGTCGAGATGTAGACGATACTTAAGACTTGTAATCCAAACGATCCGGTCTACTCAGTTCGATTGATGTGATTATAGCGTGCTGCTAATGGTAATGTGGCGCGTTCCACTTACAGTGAGTAAATAAAAACCATTATTAATACGTATTGGTGACCGTATTTCGCTATTGTACTGGTATTTCGTATTATACTTGTAGTAGAACCTTTGAGTCCGCACGGGTAGGTACCACCATCCCGCCTATTTCTACCCTAAAGCGTTTCGGCTTGAAGGGTGGGGCAGCCGTTGTAACTATACTGAGACCTTAGAACTTATATCTCAAGGTGGGTGGCGCATTTACGTTGTATATGTCTATGGGCTCCAGTAAACATTTAATACCAGGTGGGCTGTTAGCTCGTCCGCCCATCTAAGCAATAAATAAATAAAAAACATATTTTCTAAATTTTGATGGGTGACCATCTTTGGATGGGATGGGATTAATATTTGTATGTTTTCCTAACTATTCGAAACTACGCTTCAAACTTAAACGTGTGAGTGCTTCTTGTTATTCAAGTTTGGTACCGTCGAATTTGTGATTTATATGGACTCAGGTGACGTAAGTATAATATTATCAAGGAGGCCATAAAGTTAAGGTTTCAACTAGTTGTAAAAGTCAAAATGTCGAAATCTCGAAAAAGTGCACAGAGCATATTAGTCTCACAATGTGGAATATAAACTACACTATTGTTAAGAATGTAAATAAATAAAAACACGTGTGGCATTCGAGGGACTACCGCGATAAAACTATTGCATAGCAATTTATATAAACTTATGCAATTATAATTAGACAATAATAATTTAATATTAAAACAATAATAAAGTAAGACCACGCTATATTTATAAACATTAACAAAAGCAAAATATTAACTGTCCCCTTCACACTCATAAGTTAGCCCGCGCGAGAGAGAGATGGGCAGACTTTTCATGATGCGCATGCAGTGCGACGTTATGCCGCGCGCTTATCCACAAACACTACACAAGCGCAACGTGTGAATGTGTTGAACGCGAGCTACATGATAGGCGGAGTGGGGGTGTTAGGTTTTATTTTCGTTACGGAATTTCTTGATTCAGTCGCCGCGCTCAAAGATCGCGTTTAAAGCTATGCAATAGCTTAAAAACTTTCTGCGGATATCACACTATCATAACCGTTGACAAACATAAACGGATACTTAATTAATTATCTGAAAGTTTAAATTTCTTCGAATATGAATCTTCACGAAAAACGTTTCGATAAAATACGTACTGTCTCATTACTTTTATTCAAGTTCCAGAGCCATTTCGTTATAAATTAGTTTAACAAGCCGTCACGGGCCACCGAGAATATAACAGGACATAAATCAAGTGAATTTATTTTATGATAAAAAATGTTAAAATTTCAACGACTCGACGAGTTCCAGGGAAAACGTTTGTTTTGATACAAGTCGTGGACCGCGTCTCTGTCCACTTAAAACTTTTTATTTAGAAAATATGAATAGCGTTGCATTTTGCTGTGATAAAGAGTGGTTTATAGAATACTGGTTGATTAACAGATTCTTTGGTACGTAAAATCGTGAAGCAGCGAACACACTGTCGGACGAGCTCGTCACCAACCTTATGTTAAGTGGCAGCACCTATCTGTCTGTCTTACTATTATAGTTAAGACGCAATAAGGGTACTTTTATTTTTTTAAATAAAACAACGTCTTTGAAATTTTTGTTAATGACCCAAGCGGAGCCGGAGCTTGCCGCTATTGCCTAATAAAAAGGATATCATAAAAAATGTACTGTACTGAATATTAGCAATGCATTACTTTACAACCAGATTGAAAACTGAGCGACACAACAAATACTCATAGATCCCCACATCCAACAAGCTAAGCCGGCAACTAAAAGCTCGTAATAATAATTGAAAGTGCGAGTCACGAAGCGTCTCGCTCAGATAAACACGTGGGAGCAAAATTTCATCACGTAAAAAGCAATGCTTAAAAACATTCCATCCAAACTGTGTCTAGGTTTAATTACGTTTGAATTTTTATTAGATGACTTCAGAAATGACATGTTTTGAGGAGGCTCGTGAACATCACGACGTGAATGAAACCCAACTTGAGACGTTAAAATCTTATGTATATTAAAGACTAGCGACCCGCCCTCGCTTCACTTCGGAAACTGTAATTTATTATTGATTTCTCCACTATTTAATGGATGTTATTACACATATAAACCCTCCTCTTCAATCACTCTATCTATTAAAAAAAACTGCATCAAAATCCGTTGCGTAGTTTTAAAGATTTAAGCATACATAGGGACATTTTTTTTTTTTTTTTTTCCTACCTATGCTGATAGCCTTGAGAGGCTATTTCAGCTTCGCCCTAACGTTAGTAGGTGAGCTCGCGGGGCTCAACCGGAGAGTTGCTAACACTGACCCTAGCAAGAGCAGTGCTTCGCAGAATCTACCACCGGATCGGAAACGCGACCCACTGAGAAGATCCGGCGAGAAACTCAGTGGGNCTATCACGCACAAATGTGTATTCCGATGCGTAGGTCGCAAGCGACCAACGGATTGGAAGGCACGTTCACACACAACCGAGTCGTAAACGAGAATGTATTCACGGTCACTAAACTGTCGAGCACAGCTGTGAGTTCAGAGACGCAGCTCGCAAGCGGGCCACGGATCGGAAAGCACGTCCGCGCACGACCGAGTCGTGAGCGAGAATGCATAGGGACAGAGAAAGCGACTTTGTTTTATACTACTATGTAGTGATATTTCATCAGTGCAAAACCTGCAACTGTTACTGCTGAAATCAACAGGGTGATATTTACCCGTGCGAACTCCCAATACGCTTTAACATAAACAAATGAATAAATAAGTGTATTGGAGTGTTGTAGGTGAAATAAAAGAGAACTGTTCAAGTCGACAATTCGTGTAATACTGTTATAATTTAGTGTGTGCAGTTACAAATATAAGGTTAGGCGAGCTGCACACTACACCTCCCCCTTTTGAAAAAAAAATTATATTATTACATAACTACTTTTTTTTTTTTTTTTTTTNTCCTATAAAATAGCTATCTCCTCGGCCTC